TTTTTTTTTGTTACAAAAGAAAAATCTATTGTTTATTTTAAAAAGGCAATTCTGTGGTGAATATACTCATATATATATATATATATATATATGAGTTCTGCATGCACATACATGAGGGGGTTTTCTAAGTTAAAAAAAATGCTGTGAATAAATCAAACAGCTTAACTTCTATGTTTAATAGATACCATTAAATGACTTTCTGAATTGATGATGTCACTAGCAGAGTACTCATCTTTGGCAGCATTGACATTGTCATATGTCACACCTAGTCTTAAACTGAGATTGGGCATCTTTGAAAATGTATATATAAACTGGAAGTTTTTCTTCTTAAATTTGGCTGGTTATCTCTTACTTTACTTGACTTTTTTTTCCTAGGATTATTCTTTGTATTACATTTTTGGCTGTAAAATAGATTGTAAATACCATAACCTGCTTTTATAGGTTATCGCTGAAAAATATTCTAGCTATGCATGGTGACACAAGCCTTTAATCACAGCATTCAGGGAGGCAGAAGCAGGTGAATTGCTGTGAGTTCAAGGCCAGCCTGGTCTACAAAGTGAGTCCAGGGTAGCCAAAGCTACACAGAGAAACTCTGTCTTGAAAACAAAACAAACAAAAAAAATTATATAATTTTCTTAGTTCTTAATTCACATTTCTTAATTCATTTTTATCTCATCTCAGAAAGTTTTCTCTAGCCTAGACCATGAATATATTCTCAAACATCATCTTCTGAAATTATTCCAGCACTAATTCTCAATGGTAGCATATATTAATCTGGAATTTATTTTTATGGTCATATGAAACAAGAATCTAATTTTATTTTTACCTTCCCCAAATAGCTCCACATTCTCTTATTGGGCTAAATCTAAATTTTCAGTTCTGCACAATTTTACATGAACTTGCATAGAATGCAAAGTCTGACTTATAACGTTGAACTATAATATAAAATTATAAATATAATCATGTATAATCACTATACATGAAAATATGTGATAGCACATTATATGTAATTGATTCACATCATATATGATATATATATTTAACATCACATAATTAATATCAAAATGTAAAAAAGTAACAGATAACATGTATTTTGCATTAAAACTCTCCAACTGCCAGTTTATTAGATATACAAGTTTGAGGGTAAAGCAATGACTATTCTGTGTTAGCCTTCCTCATTTATTCATTCACAGAGACAATTTTTTTATATTTTCTCTGATACATACAAATAAAAAAGAATAGAAAAAAATATTTATTAATTTATAACTTTTTTTCTTCTATTATAGAATTTGGGGTTAGTGGGAAAATGCTTACCTAGCATATACAAAAAGAAAGGTCTGTATGTTATAATATACTGAACCACAAATTTTGTGTCGAACAAAGGAAAAATTTATTACAAAGTATGTAGTCTACACAATCTTAAAAAGTGAAAATTTGGGAAGCATATAATAAAACTTTATAAAACAGGAAAATGATGGAATAAACATGGGCCTGCCTTTAAAATTAAAAGGCACAGGGACTAGAGAGACATTGAAGCAGTTCAAAGCTTGTACTGCTCTTGCATAAGACTGACCTAGTTCCCAGCACCTGTGTCAGGCAGCTCATAGCCTATAGCCCCAGGGAGATCCAACACCTCTAATCTTCTCATTAGGCAGCTTCAAGCACATACATCTGTGTGTATACACACATAATTCAAAAGTAAAAAAATAATCTTTTTCAGTAAAATATTCTAGAACAAAAGAATCCCTTGGGATATATACATAATAAGAATATTTATAGGTCACAAGACAAAAGTTCTTAGTCTGTGAAAGGGACTGGTGGGGAGAGGAGTAGAATCAGAGGGAGACAAGAAAGAGTGGGAAGAGAATCATCAAAATATTATAAAGGTGTAAGAAATTGTCAAAGAAACTACCTAATCAAGACAGATGATAGATAGATAGATAGATAGATAGATAGATAGATAGATCAACCACCCTACTCCTCACCAAAGAAAAATTATTCTGCTCTAAAGACAAGATATAAATCAAACTAGTGAAGGTAAGGCAGCAATCTATTTCTGGGGGCAGGGTGGGGAACTGAGGTGGGCATAGTATCAGACATGTCAATAGTTTCCTATGTGTGGGAAGCTGCTAAAAACATGATTTAAATTATCTAGTTTAATTGTCAAAGTACCAATTTGACAATAATATCAAATATGTTAGAAGTTTCCTGTGTTTGGAAACTGCATTAAAAGCTTTATATAAATTACCTAGTAAAATAACACTTTGAAACATAAATTGTCTTCACATTTCCCCAAGTTTGTTGAGATACACAGTTTGTTGAGATACCTTTAAAAAGTAGAGAATCCTGTTATTCACTACAACACAAGTAGACACGAAAGAGATAATGCTGAGTGAAATAAACCAGACACATCTATGTAAATACAGCATGACCTGACATGCAAACACTAAAATACCTTTACCCTTACTCTAAAGATATTCATTAAGGGCTCATGGGCATTTTATCAATCATTCAAGGCCATGCGAGTAAAAAGCATAGGACTGAGAATGTCATCTGTCTCCAGAGCCCAGGCTCTTGTCTTGTCTTAGCTAGTGTGGAAACCATGCATCCGGAGTCACAAAGGATGATGATGCACACAATCCTGTGTGCTCACATAATTGTTTATATGTGAATAAGCATAAAGATTTTTCAGATATTTCTTTCCTCACTTTTCTATAGCTCAATTAATTATCACACAGACCCAACTTGTCTTGCAATTTAAAGACAATAATAATGGTTTCCTGTGCTTTGAAACTGCATTAAAAGCTTTCTCTAGATCATTTAGTGAAATAACACTTTGAAACATAAATTGTCTTCACATTTTGCCCAGTTTATTGAGCTATACAATTAATACCTTTAAAAAATTGAGAATCCTGTCATAACAGGTTATAATTGGTCAAAACTCACTAATTTTGAGTTATGAAACTTGATAATTTTGGTAAGTCAACTACCCACATTAAACAACAGAGTTTCCTTATTTCTCAATAATGAAAATTCAGGTCATATATATCTTGTACAGCTAGTCTATACTAAAACTGTGCAACTGTGCAATTTAAGTGAAAATACAGTAAACCATAAAGGCCCATGAAGATAGAAGGATGCATAAATAGAATGAGGTGATGAATGGTAGTAAAACAACAAGCCTGGGTTGTTTCACTTAGAGAAATAGAATGACTGTTATCACGTTCTTTTACCACTCAGGTATTAATGATTTCTGAGCATGTGAAGAGCTGTCTCATGGTATTTTTCACCTCTTCATTTCTCAGAGTATAAATGAGTGGATTCAACATGGGTGTCAGAATACCATAAAATACTGCCATGTTTTTGTTTATAGATAACGTAGTTGATGGACGCATAGAACTAAATATACAGGGCACAAAGAACAAAGTGACAACAATGAAGTGGGCCCCACAGGTAGACAGAGCTTTCCATCTCCCCTCTGTACTGTGGAACTTCAAGGAGTGCAGTATGACAAGGTACGAGGCAGCCAGCATGAGGAAGTTCAGCAGGCAGATCACACCACTGTTGGCCATCACCAGCATTCCAGTGACATATGTGTCAGTGCAAGCCAGCTCCAGTAAAAGGTATAAGTCACACACAAAGTGATTAATTACATTGGGTCCACAGACGGGCCACTGAAAAATCAAAAGGATTTGAACCAATGAATGCAGGAAGCCACCCAGCCACACCACTACCACCAGCACAACACAGAGGTGACTTGTCATGGTGGTGGTATATTACAGGGGCTTGCAGATGGCTACATGGCAGTCATAGGCCATCACCATGAGCAAGATGATCTCAACACCTCCCAGGAAATGAGCTTCAAAGAGCTGGGCCATGCACCCCTCATAAGAAAGAGTTGTCCCCTCATACAAGGAGTCAGCAATGAGTTTAGGGGCCAAAGAAGAGGAATAACAGCATCAATAAAGGATAGATTGGAAAAGAAAAAGTACATGGGGGTAGCCAGGCTGGAGCTGAAAGTGATAGTGACCACAGTGAGCATGTTGCCACACACTGTGACTGTGTAGATAACCAAGAAAACCATAAAGAGAATTCTCTGGGCCTCTGGCTTCTGGGAGAGTTCCAGCATAAAAAACTCTGTAGTATTGTGTGATACTTCATAGATTCCAGGGTTACTGGGCGTGCAGGTGCAGTGTCGCCTATAAAGTGATAAGAAACAACTATAAGAGAAGTAGCTCCAGGAGATGGGAATGTTTCACGGTTTACTTTGAATACTCCACTCTCCTCTTAACATGCTTCTTTCTAAAAATCTTATACTAATTTATTTTGTTATCCATTAAATGTCAACATATGCCATTTGCTTCATTGGGCACTAGTTATTAGCCACAAATAATGATTCATTTTCTAGCTTTCTTAATTTATAGCTAACTTAGTTTATAGCTACTGAACTGTTAACAGTCAGTGATTTTCTTATTCCAAATGAGATGCATTTCTGACCATTTTCAGGATAATATGATAGCGTTTGAGAAAAAAAAAGAAGAGGAGGAGAAGAAAAATGAGGAGGGGGATGTAGGAAGAAGGGAAGAAGGAAGAAGAGAAGAAAAAGCAGGAGGAAGGGGAAAGGAGGAGGAGAAGTAGATTTGGAGAAAGCAAATGTAGTTGCAGTTGGAGACTTGCATGTCTTCCTCTTCTCTTCTGTTCATTTACACCTGTGCTCCAGGCTGGGGACAGCATCATGTCTAGGAAGCCAACCTAATTTACCATCCTTTGGTTTTACATGTTTTACATTCTTTGGGGGTTTTGCTTACCTTTGATCTTACTAAAATCCATCTAGCTAAAGGCTGCTACTTCCTTTACTGACTACAAGACAGACTTGGCATTAAAAAATAAAATGAAATTTGTTTGGGAGTGTCATCCTATTACACAATTGTCTTTATTGACAACATAAGGGAAACTATAAGGACAGCAAAATCAGATGCTCTGTGATGCTCTGTCATTTTCTTTGCTTTTATTTTCTGAAGTAGGGTGTTACCACACTGCCCAGGCTACTTGCAATTCTGTCTCAGGCTTCCAGAGTTGAGATTGCAGGCATGAACTACAATACCCAAATCAGATGCTAAGCCAGCTATAAATGAGATCTAGTACAACAAACATGCCTACATACTTCCTATGCTCCTGATGATATCATCTGAGTGCAGCTTTTGTCAATAGGCTTTCAAAATTCCTATTTTTTTTACCTAGAAGTACAAGACTTTCTGAATAGTTAAAAGTTCCCACTTGCTACAGATATATAATATTTACTACAAAAATTTGAAGAGAACCACTGAGTGTCAGAAAAAGAGAGAGACAGTCAGCTGTAAGAAATCTTAATTTTGCAGGGGGAAAATCATGTGCTAATTAGGAAGCATCTCTCTTCACTGTCTAAACTGTATTGCAAGTGACCAGTCTCATGGTCTCTGCCCCTTGCAGACAAAACTTTCTAACCAAAAGCCCAGACAGCAGTGGCAGAGCAAACACCTGCATGACCCTCAACAAGCACCCAGCTCATTTAACTCTCACATCATCCCTACAGAGTAAGTTCTCACCTTGTACAAATAAATAAATAAATAAATAAAACACTGCATTCAACAACTGTGAGGTAGTCTTGAATATTTTTTCTCTTACTCTTTTTATTATTATTGTTATTAATTACACTTTATTCATTTTGTATTCCCCCCATCAACCCCCCCTCCTCCCCTTCCGATCCCACCCTACCTCCCTTTTCTTCATGTATGCTCTTCCCCACATCCACTGATAGGGGAGGTCCTCCTCTCCTTCCTTCTAATCTTAGTCTATCAGATCACATCAGGAATGGCTGGATTGTCTTCTTCTGTGGCCTGGTAAGGCTGCTCCCCCCTCATGGGGAGGTGATCAAAGAACAGGCCAATCAGTTTATGTCAGAGGCAGTCCCTCTTCCCATCACTATGTAAGCCACTTGGACACTAAACTACCATGTGCTACGTCTGTGCAGGGGTTCTAGGTTATCTCCATGAATAGTCCTTGGTGGGAGTATGAGTCTTTGGGAAGTTCCCTGTGTTCAAATTTACTTGTTCTGTTGCTCTCCTTGTGGAGTTCCTGTACTCTCCAGCTCTTGCTATTTTCCACTACTTACATAAAATTCCATTTACTCTGCCTGCCGATTGGCCATCAGGCTCAGCATCTGTTCTGATAGTCTGCAGGGCAGAGGCTTTCAGATGCCCTATGTGGCAGGTTCCTAGATTGTTTCCTGTTTGTTCCTTCTGATGTCCATCCTCTTTGCCTTTCAGGATGGGGACTGAGCGTCTTAGTTAGGGTCCTCTCTTTTGCTTAGTTTGTTTAGATGTACCGATTTTAGTGGGTTTATTCTATGTTGTATGTTTATATGAGTGAGTATATACCGTGTGTGTCTTTTTGCTTCTGGGACAACTCACTCAGGATGATCCTTTCCAGGTCCCACCATTTACCTGCAAATTTCATGATTTCCTTATTTTTCATTGCTGAGTAATACTCCATTGTATAGATGTACCACAATTTCCGCATCCATTCTTCAATTAGGGGCATCTGGGCTGTTTCCAGCTTCTGGCTATTACAAATAAAGCAGCTACAAACATGGTTGAGCAAATGTCCTTTTTGTGTACTTGAGCCTCTTTTGGATATATGCCTAGGAGTGGTATGGCTGGATCTTGAGGAATCGCTATTCCTAGTTGTCTGAGAAAGCTCCAGATTGATTTCTAGAGTGGTTGTACAAGTTTACATTCCCACCAGCAGTGGAAAAGGGTTCCCCTTTCTCCACAACCTCTCCAGCATGTATTGTCACCTGAGTTTTTGAACTTGGCCATTCTCATGGATGTAAGGTGAAATCTCAGGGTTGTTTTGATTTGCATTTCCCTAGTGGCTAATGAGGTTGAGCATTTCTTTAAATGCTTCTCTGCCTTTCGAAATTCCTCTACAGAGAGTTCTCTCTTTAGCTCTGTTCCCCATTTTTTAATTGGATTACTTGGTTTGCTGCTTTTCAGCTTCCTTAATTCTTTATATATACTGGATATGAGTCCTCTGTCAGATAAAGGGTTGGTGAAGATTCTTTCCCAATCTTTAGGCAGTCACTTTGTTTTGATGACAGTATCCTTTGCTTTACAGAAGCTTTTCAGTTTCAGGAGGTCCCATTTATTGATTGTTGCTCTCACAGCCTGTGCTGTTGGTGTTCTGTTTAGGAAGTTCTCTCCTGTACCAATGAGTTCTAGGGTATTCCCCACTTTTTTTTCTAGCCAATTTAATGTGTCTGGTTTTATATTGAGGTCTTTGATCCACTTGGACTTCAGTTTTGTTCAGGGTGATAACTATTGATTTATTTTCATTTTTCTACATGTAGACATCCAGTTGGACCAGCACCATTTGTTGAAGATGCTATCTTTTTTCCATTGTATGGTTTTGGCACCTTTGTCAAAAATCAGGTGTCCATAAGTGTGTGGGTTTATTTCTGGGGCTTCTGTTCGGTTCCATTGATCCACCATTCTGTTTCTATGCCACTACCATGCAGTTTTTATAACTGTTGCTCTATAGTATAGCTTGAGATCAGGGATAGAGATACCTCCAGAAGATCTTTTATTGTACAGGATTGTTTTAGCAATTCTCAGTTTCTTGTTATTCCATACAAAGTTGAGAATTTTTCTTTCCAGGTCTGTAAAGAATTGTGTTGGCAATTTGATGGGAATTGCATTAAATCTGTAGATTGCTTTTGGTAAAATGGCTATTTTTACTATGATAATCCTGCCAAGCCATGAGCATGGGAGATCTTTCCATCTTCTCATATCTTCTTCTAATTCTTTCTTCAGAGATTGGAAATTTTTTTCATACAAGTCTTTGACTTGCTTGGTTAGGGTTACACCAAGGTACTTTATGTCAATTGTGGCTATTGTGAAGAGTGTTGTTTCCCTAATTTCTTTCTCAGCCCTTTTGTCTTTTGTATACAAGAGTGCTACTGATTTTTTTGAGTTAATTTTGTATCCGGCCACTTTGCTGAAGGTGTTTATCAGCTGTAGGAGTTCCCTGGTAGCATTTTTGGGGTCACTCATGTATACTATCATATCATCTGCACATAGTGATAATTTGAATTCTTCTTTTCCAACTTGTATCCCCTTGATCTCCTTCAACTGTCTTATTGCTCTAGCAAGGATTTCCAGCACTATGTTGAAGAGATATGGAGACAGTGGGCAGCCTTGTCTTGTCCCTGATTTTAGTGGGATTGCTTTAAGTTTATCTCCGTTCAGTTTGATGTTGGCTATAGGCTTGCTGTATATCGCCTTTACTATGTTTAGATATGTGCCTTGTATCCCTGATCTCTCCAATACTTTAAACATGAATGGATGTTGGATTTTGTCAAATGCTTTTTCAGCATCTAGGGAGATTATCATGTGGTTTTTTTTCTTTCAGTTTGTTAACATGGTGGATCACATTGATGGATTTCCATATATTGAACCACCCCTGCATACCTGGGATGAAGCCTACTTGGTCATATTGGATAATATCTTTGATGTGTTCTTGGATTCGGTTTGCAAGTATTCTGTTAAGTATTTTTGAATTAATGTTCATAAGGGAGATTGGCCTGAAATTCTCTTTCTTTGTTGAGTCTTTGTGAGGTTTAGGTACCAAGGTGACTGTGGCTTCATAGAATGAGTTTGGTAGTGTACCTTCTGTTTCTATTTTGTGGAATAATTTAAAGAGAATTGGTGTTAGCTCTTCTTTGAAGGTCTGGTAGAATTCTGCGCTGAAACCATCTGGTCATGGGCTTTTTTTGGATGGGAGACTTTTGATGACCACTTCTATTTCTTTAGGGGATATAAGACTATTTAATTGATTTACCTGGTCCTGATTCAGCTTTTGTTAATCAAATCGATCAAGAAAATTGTCCATTTCATTTAGATTTTCAAATTTTGTGGCATATAGACTTTTGAAGTAAGTCCTAATGATTGTTTGGATTTCCTCAGTGTCTGTAGTTATGTCCCCCTTTTCATTTCTGATTTTGTTCATTTGGGTGGTGTCTATCTGCCTTATAGTTTGGTTGGCTAAGGGTTTGTCGATCTTGTTCATTTTCTCAAAGAACCAGCTCTTGGTTTCATTGATTCTTTGAATTCTTTTATGTGTTTCCAATTGATTGATTTCAGCCCTGAGTTTGATTATTTCCAGCCATCTACACCTTCTTGCCGTGTCTGCTTCTTCTTTTTCTAGGGTTTTTAAGTGAGCCATTAAGTTGCTTGAATGAGCTGTCTCGAATTTCTTCTTGAAGGCACTTAGTGCTATGAACTTTCCTCTTAGCACTGCTTTCATTGTGTCCCACAAGTTTGGGTATGTTATGTCTTCATTTTCATTGAGTTCTAGGAAGACTTTAATTTCTTTCTTTATTTCTTCCCTGACCCAGCTATCATTTAGTAACAAGTTGTTCAGTTTCCATGTGTGTGTAGGCTTTTTGCTCTTTCTGTTATTGTTGCGGTCCAGCTTTATTCCATAGTGATCAGACAAGATACAAGGGATTATTTCAATCTTCTTGTATCTGTTGAGGCTTGCTTTGTGACCAACTATATGGTCTATTTTGGAGAAGGTTCCATGAGGTGCTGAGAAGAAGGTAAATTCTTTTGTGTTTGGGTGTAAAGTTCTGTAAATATCTGTGAGGTCCATTTGATTCATGACCTCTGTAAGAATCTTTGTTTCTTTGTTTAATTTCTGTTTTGTTGACCTATCCTTTGTTGAGAGTGGGGTGTTGAAGTTTCCCTCTATTAATGTGTGGGGATCTATATGTGGTTTAAATTTTATCAATGTTTCTTTAACAAATGTGGGTGCTCTTGTATTTGCCGCGTAGATGTTCAGGATTGTGATGTCTTCCTGGTGGAATTTTCCTTTGAAGAGTATGAAGTGTCCTTCCCCATCTGTTTTTATTAATTTTGGTTGAAAGTCTATTTTATCAGATATTAGAATGGCTACTCCTGCTTGCTTCTTGGGTCCGTTTGCTTGGAAAGTCATCTTCCAACCCTTTACCCTCAGGTAATGTCTATCGTGTGTCTTAGGTGTGTTTCTTGTATGCAACAGATTGCTGGGTTTTGTTTACGTATTCATTCTGTTAATCTGTGTCTTTTTATTGGAGAATTGAGTCCATTGATGTTGAGAGAGATTAATGTGCAGTGGCTGTTAGATCCCTTGATTTTGATGTTGGCTGTGGTCATCAGGTTGTGTGCTTGGTTGCTTTTTGTTTTAATGTAGTAAGGTTAATTATTTCCTGTGTTTTCTTGAAAGAAGCTAATTTTCTTGGGTTGTATTTTCCCTTCCAGTGTCTTTTGTAATGCTGGATTTGTTTGTAGGTATTGTTGAAATTTGTTTTTATCATTGAATATCTTGTTTTCTCCGTCTATGAGGACTGAGAGTTTTGTGGGGTATAGTAGCCTGGGCTGACATCCGTGTTCTCTTAGGGTCTGCATGATATCCATCCAGATCCTTCTGGCTTTCATAGTCTCTGTTGAAAAGTCAGGTGTGATTCTAATGGGTTTGCCATTATATG